TTCGATTTCGCGGGTACTAATTGACGGATTTCGCTCAAATTTTGCTGTGTGAAATTACATTCTTAAAAATTTTGTTTAAAATGGTATTCCTAAAAATTAAATTAAATAAAAAATAATAAATATTTACTTAGTTTTTTTTTTTTTGCATTAAATTATCTTTGGATAAATGAATTTTATAATTACGGTTAAAAAAAATTTAGTTCTAAAAAGTTCTCGTGATATGGCAAGATACGCAAAAAGTAAAATTAACATTAAGGCGTCCAATTTTGAATAGCTCTCATGCCTATACAAAGGGAAACATATTTCCTGGATTTCCAGCTATCCCCTATAGTTTGGGAATCCATGGAGAGAAAAAAAGGAATACAATTTATTTAGCGCAATTACGTTTTGCGTCTTAAAATGTCGCCTGGATTAATTAATTAGCATACTTGAGGTTACCCCTTGAACAACTCAGATTGAGTCCTGAAACATGAAGATCTGTTTTTATATTATAAGATATTCAAGATGTTCCCTTTTTTTGCTCACTTTATATAGGAAAATAATGCTTTAAATGAAAGATTCTCTTTTCAAATCTTCGTTGGAATGAAAGATTATAGAACAACCATTGTAAAAGTAATCAGATAAAATGAATGCTAATTTTACTAAAAATAATTGAAATCTTTAACCAATGTATAGTGGATGGTCACCCTTCCAATGGGATGGCACACAGGCATACGTAGATGGCTATCGCGTGACGTCAACAGGTCACATGACAACATCTTATTATGCATGGAGTACCAACACCACTTATAAATACAAAGCCACCAACAGTATATCAAAATTAAGATTGTGATTTTAGTTTTTTTTTCCTAATTAAAAAGTTTAGTTGTTTAATACTGCTTATAGAGCCATTTTATTTCTACTGAAATGTGTATGTTAAAATATTTTTGCGATTGATTTATTAAAAGAAATTTTAAAAAAAGAATCACTTAAAGAACTGTCGTTCATATTTAGATAGAATTAATTTGATTTCTTAGACTTTTTTTTTTCATGAGAAGGTGTGTGGTATTTTTAATAAAATGTTACCTATTTAAGGTTGGGTCATGAACTTCAGCTTCTATGCTTATAAATAACCAAATGTATTTTATATTTTTCATCTGCTTTTTTTCTATTTTCCTTGTTCTGAAAAATTATTTGTCCCAAAATTAAGTTTTTGGAAAACTAGCTCTATGACTACGTTTCAATAAAATAGCTTAGAATTTTCAATTTTTGAAGAAAAAAATGGCCACTAACCTCTCACCTATATTGCTTTGTAATTATAATAGCATAGCTCCCATCGTTTTTTAAAATATTCTCTAAAATTGCATAAGTTTCCTAAAAATTCCTCATTAAAATGTAATTTTTACACAATTTATTGCTTGCTTGAATCTTTAAATCAGTATTACTGATACAAAATGTCTCAAGCTTCATTTATAATAATTTTAAAGTATAATAATTTTTAATTTTTTTTTTCAATAATTAATTGTCTATTACTATTCAAAATTATGATTTAACATAATAAAGAAAAAAACATTTCAAGTTCATTTAATGTTGTTCATAATTGCAAAATATTGCAGACCATTTATAGTTATTAAGTGTAATAAAGTTTTGTATTTTGATGCCATCAAAATTCCCCTATATGTAAAATATTTAGTATATTATGCAACAGTTATCATGAAAATCTACCTGTGTATGTTGACAGCTATGTAATAGTGGTGTTGTTAATAAAAGATCTCATTATACCTGTTATAAGAATAGATTTCAGTATTTAAATGATTTGAAATACATTTCAACCCTATCTAATCTTGTATGTAAAAGGCCCTTTGCCTACAAAAGAATTATCACATACCTTAAATTTCAGATACATGGGGATTGAGTTTCTACTATGCATTAGGAATAGTACATGCAATCATTACTACATTTACAACGAACCATTTTAGAAAAGAAGTAATTTATAGAAATTGTCAATTGAGATTTACAAATATGTCACTTTAAACCACAAATTTATCCTTTGTAAATAGAATAGGAGTCTCAAAATATTGTGATTCTCCCACCCTCCACTCTTTGTTACCATGGTTTTGACAAATCTTTTTTTCTTTTCTTTCCCAAGCAAGTATGGCTCTCTAAGATACGGGTGCACAGCCTTTTTAAATGAAGGGCCACTTGCACAGCAGGTAGATTAATGAAGGGCCACATATATACTTAGTCATGTTAGCAGCAAATATGATAATTTTTAAATAAACATTAGTGAAGTTTTTTAATCAGTAAACTTAATAACAAATTAGCAAAATTAAATACTTTTAATATTAATAAAATTAAATACTTTCTTTAAAACAACTTTTTTTACAATAATTAATTTATTAAAATATATATATATATAGCACAATAAAAACAAATTCTTATATCTATTAAATTCTTATACAAAAGATTATATCTTTTCTTTGTTTTGTTTTCCGGATTTTTTTCTTTTTAAGATATCAAAAATTCTATATTTTTAAAAATACTTTTGAAAAATATTTTTAATTACTTTCTTCTCTTGTCATTATTTTTTTTTCCACATTTTCTCAATATTTTAGTTTATACATGTACACATACATACATACAAAGGGGTGAAGTATAAATTCCAACCAAAGAAGAAAAAACTGTCGAGTTAAAGGAGTGATAGTACAAAAAAAAATATACATACATATTTTCTAGAGTAATATAAATTTGAATTAAATATTTTTATTTAAAAAAAATTTATATTTAAGTTTAAGCAAAAATTGAAAAAAATTTATTGCATTCAGAAGCTCCCGCGGGCCGCATGTTGAGCACTCCTACAGTAAGAAATTGGAATTTTCTGAAACTATGGTAATTTTGAAGGGAAAAGTGTGGAGAGTAGGGAAATTGTGTAACTTCAAGATGCCTATTCCATTTATGAAGCAGATAACATATCTTAAATTAACATCTGGCATTGTACAATTCGAAGAGAAGATTGCATTCAACTATCAACATAACATAAATAAAATATGCATACAGACATTTTTACATTCCAAATAATAAAACTGCACTTTATATGTACAAACAATTGAAAGATCATCTCACCAACAAATTTTAGTGTGAAACTGCTTACTAAAACAATTCTCGACTCTTTTTCTTTTTTTTTTAAAAAAAAGTAATATTTACCCTTATTATTGAAATTATTTGATGCCTGCCATCTTGTATCAGATAACAGAGTGCGTAGCGTTTTTTAAAAAGTGCTTATATTTGATTTACGTTTTTTAAAAGCCTTTAAAAGTGCTTTATTTTAATTCAGGGTTTGTAAAAAGTGTTTAATTTTCTCTCTTTTTTAAGAAGAGATTTTTTTTTCTTTGCCGTGTCGATTGTTATTCCAAATTACAAAAAAAAAATGCGTAATAATCATAATTTTCTCTGCAATATTGATCAGAAACTAGTTATTTTATCATGATTATGTAAAGTTTTTGAAAATGTTTTTTGAATTTTATTGATTTTATTTTTATAAATTAAGAGCTTTAAACGGTAGAAAGAAAGAATTTTTATTACTGCACTGATCCTAATTATGATTTTATTTTTTTGGAAAGGAATTAAAAAGAGCTTGAAAAGTACTTAAGTGAAAGCTTGAAAGAATACATAAAATGTGCTTATTTTTTGTTGAAGAATCTGGCTACGCACCCTGCATAAAAATTTTATAACATCTAGTCTGATTTAAGATATTTTTTAGGTCGTTAATAGTATAAAGTATATAGAATCAATAACTTGTTTTTTTTTTTTCAGGATTAATCCTTAGAAGTATTAAATCTTCAAGCATAAATCTTAAATTTACAAAAAAATACTAACTAAATGAGCGACATGATTTTTATGTGTAACTCAAACATAGCAGTCTTTAGAAGTGATTTTAAAAATCTTCATTGACTAATTTATCAGTCTGTATTATTTGCTTTCTGAATTATAAAAATGACTTTTGTTCTCAAATATTTTTAATGTATTTATTTTTTTTAGCAAAAAGTAATTATTTAAATATTAATTTCAAGAAAAATAAATTATAAGAAGATAGCTTAATTTTGGATGCATTTATTTTTGGTGACATGCTTCTTTGTAGTAAAGGGGGAAAAATACAGTAAATTATTTCATTTCAACATAGTTTCTTAAATACTGTTATTGTTTTTAAAATAGTCATACTATGTGTGACAATGCCATATTTATTATCTCATATTACCAGTCAGGATTGTAATTGCCAATTCATCTATATAATAAAATAGAAGGCTATTCTGATTATATTAAAACTTATATTACTTAAAATACAGTATTATTCAGTAGTGGACATTTTTTAGAAGGAAACTATAAGAAAATAATACTGTTTGAATTTAGAAATAATGATAAAGAAAGATTTAAAATAACCGAATTTTTTATTCCCAAGAATTTAAATTGGAATTCCAATCAGTGGGTTTCACATATTTAAGCAAGAGCATTATGGTTAACTTTTTGTAGTTTTTTAACTTTTCACTAAATATTTAATAGTATATTTTGGAAAATAACATTTGCTTTATGGCGTTTTTGTAAGTATTAGAAATTAAAAAAATATATATACGAAATTCTCTCATTTAATAGTCATAATACATGGCTTTAGCTGATATTTTTTTGAGAAATATTTAATTTAAAAATAATTGTAGTAACGTTTTAAACAATTTGATCGAGTTGCAAAATTAAATTTGAAACTGATTTTTAATAAAGTGTTGTTATATTATTGAAGTGAAGTATTTAAGAAAAAGAAATTGAAAACCATATTACAGTTAAATTGAAATATATCAAGCTGCTTAAATACAAATGGTACTTTTTTTCTTCTTTTTCCTTCTATATTGAAGCTATTATATTGCTTACATTAATCTCTCAATTGGAAATAAGCTAGTTTTGTTTAGCTTAATTTTTAATATTCCTTACAATTCTAAGTTTTTTTTTCTCCCATCTTTCAGAAACTTTGTTTATTTGCATCATTACAATTAGTATATTTATAGTGACTTATGTATAAAGGAATAGTACTAGAAGCAATTCTACTGGTTTCTCCTGGTCTACTCGATTAATGAAAATTCTCCTGATTTTTGTACATTTTTAGAAAATTCCCTACAAGTGAGGAAGTTTCCTAAAGAAAATCCCCATTGAAATAGAATTTTTGCAAAAGATTATTGCTTGCTTGAATATTTAAATACGTATTACTGATAAATAGAGCCCGGATTTTGATGACCTAAAAAATCTCAATTAATGCCCTTAAAAAGTGCAAAAAATGCCCTTATGAACTGCAAAAAATGCCCTTAAAATGCGAAAATTGCACTAAAAATGCCTTATGACATGACTTAAATAGAAGCAAAAATATTGAACTAAAACAATGTTTTACTCTTTAAAATTATTATGAGTCGTTTCAAAAAATATAAAGCAATGCAATACTTGTTCTACGTTCATTAAAGTTTGACAAATATGTTTTATATCCAAAAATAACAAAAAAAAGGAAAATATATTGACTCCAAAACATTTTCATTTTGTATAGAAACTTAAATGAATATAACAACTTCCATCTCATAATATTACTAAATATCAGAATTACAGTGGATTATTAAATTTTTTTTTAATATTTTGAAATGTAAACGAGCGTCTCTTGTCTGAAAGCAAATTTTTATACCAGGAGAAGCTTCTTTCAACGTCTACTGATGTTATTGGTGCGTACTTGAAAAGGACGGTCACACTTACTGACAATTCTTCTTCAATTTGAAAAGATGTTGCTTCACCTGTTAATATCTTAGAAATTTTCTTCATTGTTTGGAAGCCAGTGTAATAATAAAAAATTACTAAAAATAATAAAAATTAAAAAGTTTAGCAAAAAATTTAAAAAATGCTTTAAAATGCAAAATACGCCCCAAAATTTTAAAGAAAATGCCCTATAAATCTCAAAAAATGCTCTAAAGGACAAAGAATGTCCAAAAATGCAAAAAAATGCAAATGTCATCAAAATCCGGGCCTTACTGATAAATAATGAAGCGGGCCTTGTTTACAGAGAAAGTTAAAATGATCAGTTTTAAACTTGTTTTCAATTATTCAGAACTTCCTTTTTAAATTATTTTTAAAATTCTTTTAACTGTCTTTGATGAATTAATTTAAACTTGTTTTCAGTTATTCAGAACTTCCTTTTTAAATTATTTTTAAAATTCTTTTAACTGTCTTTGATGAATTAAATGTCTATTATACTATTCAAAATCATGAGTAATACAGATCATTTCAAGTTCATTTAATGTCAATCATAACTGGAAAATATTGCAGTTCTTTGTATTTTGATGACTATAAAAATCCCCAATGTGTAAAATACACTAGTGTAAAAAATGAAGAGAATTTGCAGAATGGGTCGATTATCTCTAAAACTACTGAACCGATATTAATGAAATTTGATGTGTACATACATTCATACAATACAAAACAAATAACCATTCAACTATTGTAATACAAATGCATGATCGTGCGTAACACTCGTTTGAGTCGGAAGGTAGGAGATTGCTTATCTCCAAGTAAGAAATCACGCTGCAAGATCTGTATGAAGGGACCCTCTATTTATTCTGCAACCGCTGTTTCATACCTTCTCTGACTCCAACGAGTGTTGTTACAATGGTTATTTGTTTGGTATTGTATCAATGTATGTACATATTATCATTAAAATCAGTTCTAGAGACAATCGACTGCAAATTCTCTTACACCAGTGTACATTGTGCAATCATGAAATTTATATTATCGTGTAAAATCTACTGGATTTCTCCCTGTCTATGTTGGTGAGTATGTAGAAGCATGTCATCCTAGAGATTTTTTATATAATTCAAATGATGTCTAGAAATAATGAAAAAAAATCAACAAGGGCTGACGCTCATGGGTCTGGAAGTAGAGGTCGAGGAAGAAAACCCGCTGTCTTCCTTTCCCATGTGAATGTCGACTGTCGTGTTCGGAGAGACTCCAAAAAATTCCGATTTGGTCTCGGTCGACCGTGGAGACACGCTTCGAACCGTGTCGGAACTGGGCGAATCCCTCCCCATGCTGAAGTCCATCAACGTCGATCTTTTCAAACCCACGGGTCCAACTTTCATGTTTTCATTGTTCTCAGTCTTGTCGACGTTTACGTCGCCCTTATTGTGCTCCCGACTGACACTGGTTGTAATGTTCGTGGTGGTGGTCACTTTTGGAATGTTAACACCGGGTTTGGTACTGAAGTCGGACGCCTTCACTCCCTTACTACTCTTTATGGACTGATTCCACGTGGTGGCGATCTTCAAGAGGTCGTTTTTGACCGATCTGTCGTCGAGATCGGTCGTCAGAAGCGTCGCGTTCGGGATTTTGTTGTTGCTGACGCTTATTTCGACGTCTACGGTCGTGCCGAGACTGAATTCTTTTCCGTTTTGCGGAACGGTCTCTGTGATCGTTTCCGACGTTTTTAAACTGTCTACAATAGTCTGGGTTCGATTCTTGGGTGCAATGCCAGGAGGTGATTTGGTGGTCTCAATCAATTGAGGATTCGGTGTCGACGTGAACTGAGGGGTGAGCCTCGCGGGTGACTTCGCAGGATCGCTAGGAGTGGTGGAAACCCAAGACGTGGGCCTTTTCCATTCGGGTTTTTTCAGCAAAGGCGGTGTGAATGACGGAAGTTTTTCAAACACATTTTGAGATTTAAGAATGTCTGTAGTCTGGTATGGTGTCACTTTGTTCCAGGTGTTCAGCATTCCACTGTGAGAATTGCCGTACTTCTCATTTGCCATAAGCTGAGATTCCTGTTCTTTGTTTTTAACCAAGTGATAGAAAGATGTTTCTTGCCTGTAAGAAGTAAGTATTTAGCTTATATAGTAAAATGATAATCTAAATCAATGATTCTCAACTACTGTGCCACCAAATGATATAATGCTTTTTTTTATTACGAGTAAAGTTTAAATTTTAAAAAAGATATTAATATATATATATATATATATATTATTTTATAATTTTCTGTACTTTTTAATTACGTTTATATTACTTTTATAACACATTTTCTATTTTTTTACACGCTATAGCGGCGTGAATATCTTTGCCGGCGATAGTTCTGTTTTTGACAATCTTATAATGTTAAATCTTATAATGTTGTAATCTTATAATGTTATTGATTGTCAATTAAAATTATTAATTAACGAAAGAAAGCAAGCTAAATACTAGCTTGCAAAAAGGTATTAAATATGAGGTTAATATTTTGAATAGTTAAAAATATTAACAAAAAAGTGGTAAAGTATTTCAATTTAATACAATTTATTGAAAAATAACTACTTGAAAAAGTATTTGCATATAAATATTATTGCATCAGAATGCAATAAGTGTTATTATTGCAATTTAGAACTGCTGAAGAGTTCTAATCAATTTGTAAAGTCGTATAAAGTGAGAAAGATTCCTCTCCGTACATTTTAAATTAATCCCTATCGTAATTAATTTTTTAAGAATTATTTGATTAAGTTCTGGCTCGAATCGAATCGGCTGTTAAATTCATGTGATGTTCATCTAAATGTAGTCTACGAGTTACCTGTTTCTAGATTCGTGTGTCTTGAATTCTTGGGTTTTAGGCGAAGGTGGCGTTTCCCTTTTAGGTGACGTCTTCCTGCTGAGACTCGAAGATCGATGATCGTCCATATGCTGCCGATTTCGATGACAGATACGAGGAGTGGCTGGGATCGAGGACATATGCTGAGAATGACGATCTCTGCCCGATGAACGATTCAGACTACTCGATCGAACCTGTGAATCAAAACAAACTATAGATTAACTTTTATTCTCCAAACTATAGCAATGCATATGTGCTGAGAATGACGATCTCTGCCCAATGAACGATTCAGACTGCTTGATCGAACCTGTGAATCAAAACAAACTATAGAGTAACTTTTATTCCCCAAACTATAGCAATGCATACATGCTGAGAATGACGATCTCTGCCCGATGAACCAGTCAGACTGCTCAAACGAACCTGTGAATCAAAACAAACTATAGTGTAACTTTTATTCCCCAAACTATAGCAATGCATATGTGCTGAGAATGACGATCTCTGCCCGATGAACCATTCAGACTGCTTGATCGAACCTGCGAATCAAAACAAACTATAGAGTAACTTTTATACCCCAAACTGTCAATGCATATATGCTGAGAATGACGATCTCTGGCCGATGAACGATTCAGACTGCTTGTTTGAACCTGTGAATCAAAACAAACTATCAAGTAACTTTTATTCCCCCAACTATAGCAATGTATATATGCTGAGAATGACGATCTCTGGCCGATGGACCATTCAGACTGCTCGATCGAACCCGTGAATCAAAACAAACTATGGAGTAACTTTTTCCCCCAAACTATAGCAATGCTTTCTATTAACCAACTGTATAGCCGAAACGTTTGCCATAATCTTGTTCAATTTCAAATGAGACCACAGCGCCCAAGTCAAAAATTTTTTATTGATGAACCAACATAATCTTGATGGTAACCATCAATATTTCCCTTAGGAATCACCATATTTTTTTTATGGTAACCAACATAAGTACCCATCACTCCAATGTAGGAATTTCGGACTTGTTTATGATGATCCAACATAAGAATAGCAACTTATTTTGAAGGCCTGTTCATCAGGAATTTTCATCATAGGTTTTAGATCATGAACAACCATTATCCCAAAGTAGGAATAATTCAGACTGATTTATGATGGGACAACATTAAAAAAACTAAATTTTGATGGTATATTTCTGAGAACCATCAAGAATTTCCAGTATAGCATCATGAAAATGTGTAGTTGAAACCATCATTTATGAGGGTCTAACATAAGAATAATTGCTTGCTTTGTTCATGTTAAACCATCAGAAACTTCCATCATAGCATCTTAGAAATCAAATGTTGGAACAATCATGAACAACAATCATTGTAAGAATTCGCTGATTTACGATGGGCCAGCATTAAAAAAAACTCCAACTGTTTTGATGTCTAAAAACTAACAAGAATTCCCATCATGGAAATGTGTAGTTGGAACCATCACGGATTGTTGTTCCGTGAGTATCAAACTTCTCTTAATTGTTAAAACTATCATAATATTAAAGTCGCATCATGGAAGGGTGGAAGTTTGCTAGCATACCATGAATGTATAATGGAAAATGTTGGATGATGGTGACCATCAAATGATGTTGAACCATCATGAATCGCACTGAAACCAACCTAAATCATCGAAATGATTTGATGGAACCATCAAGAATTTTGACTTGGCTAATAGAAAATTATCACCCAGGAGCAACTAAAGCTCTTTTATGTTAAAGCACCGGTCGGTAGAAACTTCTTCCTGGTTGCGAAGATTTTTTTTTATCTAACTATTGTTAAACAGCTGACCCAATTTGGGGTTTATGACTACCAATGTTCAACTACGTAGTCTTGTAAATTTTGAGAAAATCCAGAAGACAAGGAAGCTTGTGGATTAGTACCCTCAGAGGTATGATCTGTTACGGGCACATGGAGGACTTAGTGAGTCGACAGATTTAACGTGAATTAGTCACTATTTACTACACGGGGAGTCTTCAGCCGGTGGGAATCGAAACCACGACCTCTTGGACATGGGCCCAATGCTCTACCAACCAGGCTATCCCGACCTTGGTTACGAAGATTGAGGTAAATAGAGACTGATGTACGTTAAATCTGTCGAGTCGCTAAGCCTACCATGTTCCCATAACAAATTAAAACCTCTGGGGCTACTGGTCCAGGAGTTTCCTTGTCTTCTGGATTGGTTCAAAATTACAAGGCTACGGATACATTGAAGAGCCGTGATGGCTCAGGGGATGGAGCGTTCGCTTTCCAATGAGGCGAACCGGATTCAAATCCCGGCGATGACTGTTCAAATACGCATCCGGCTTGCACCGACCACAGTACTGACGTGAAATATCTTTAGTGGCTGACGGATCATGGGTTAGAGTCCCCTTGCTCTTAGGCTAACCATGGGAGGTTCTCGTGGTCTTCCTCTCCACGAAGGCAAATTTCTCCCAATACTTAATCCAGGCGTTCCCTTGTCTTCTGGATTGGGTTCAAAATTACAAGGCTGCGTAATTGAACATTAGTAGTCGTAAACCCAAAAATTGGATCGGCTGTTCAACGTATGCTATAAAATGATAGATTGAAAGCAACAAAACAGTTAAAAGGCTTCAATCATCATGCGTTGTCCATTACTTTAACGCCCAGTGCGCAAAATAACCTTTGTTCTCATGATTGGATTTTCACTCTATCTTTATGTTTTGAGGGCACCAACTTAAACTATGTTAATTAGTTGGAACGATGTTTTAAGTTAGGAAAACAGACAAAAAAACGTACTTTCTTTGAATAAACACAAATTTCTTTTTCGACGGGAATTTTGAACCTCAAAATAAAAGGGGGTGGTGCAATCAGGGAAATATGGCCCTAATAGCGGTCGATATTAGAACTCTTTAATATCACTTTTTGCGTATTTTTCATATCTCGAAAAATAGAATAAAAATTCCTCTTTATTAATATTCGCTTACACGAAGACAACTTCTTGCAAAGAAGAGTTTTAAATGATTCATTATTTTTTATAATAGTCGAAAAAATTTATTGTAAGGCATAAAAATTTTTACACCCAAATTTACATTTAGTTTGGCACGCAGTTTTGTCTTTTAAGATTTTACTGTTTATTATAAATTCTAAAGAGTCGTGATTCAATTTAAGGTCATTTCTATTGTGGCGTAACTACCATAACGATCATTAAACATTAATTCACTAGTATATAAGTTTCAACATTCTCTACTGTTTTTCACAAGAGAATCCTCGTATTTTGCTGCTACTTAAACGATTTTCCATATTTACACTTATTTTCTCCCCTTTTTTTATTAAAAAAAGTAAAACCATAAAAGATTTTTTTTTAATTAGAAATTACGTTTTACTTTATTAGAAACTTTTAAGAAAAAATCTGAGTTTTTTTTCATTTTAATTTTTCGTTTTTCACTGAATTGCAGAAACTATCTATATCAGGGGTGGCGAAGCTTTATGCACCAACGTGCCATTTTTTCAAAAAATTGTTTAATGAGGTCATAGGCGTGCCGTCAAATAATTTTGACTTCTTGATTATTGGGAAAATAATAAAATTCTATCAACTCAAAACTCTTTATTTACTATGAAAAAAAAAACATTTTGCAATGTCTCAGTTATGCGTGTAATTCAACCTAAAGTAGCATTAGTGTGACTTCTGTTGTTGCAGATTAGAAGACAAATGACTTATATTAGGTTGTAAGATGCTAGTTTAAGCGAAACTGTTAATGTTTTTTTGCAAGTTATTTATTGTTAGCTTGTTTTTTTACAGTTATTGTTTTTTTTTTGGCAATAAATTGTTAATTTTTTTTGTTAATTGTTTATTTTTTTGTTTTGTTTTTGCGAATTTTAATTTAATTGCTAATATGCTTCATAGTGAACTTTGTGATGGCTGGCGTGCCCAGAATATTGTGTCGCGTGCCATTGGTTCGCCATCCCTGATCTATATTATATAAAACGCTAATACGTACGTATGTATCAATAAAACCGATGATATTNGAAAAATTCTGAGTTTTTTTTTTTCATTTTAATTTTTTTGTTTTTCACTGAATTGCAGAGACTATTAAAACTATTACTACTGCGAATTCATGTTGGTATTGTACAAATTGTTCCCAATAGAGAATCAACGCAGGGTGCGTCGCGGTTTTAAAAAGTGCTTAATTTTCAAAATGAGATTTTTCCTTTATCGTGTTGATTTTTGCTTCGAATTATGCAAAAAGACACAGTTATGTTCAACGTTTTCATAATTAGTTCAACCCCAATCTATTTCGGCGTATTGTCAGTCCGTAACGTTATGAAAACGCCATTCGTTTGACATGATTCAAAATTTCATGATTTTGAAAATTTCATGATTTCATGATTGTCCAAAACAATGGCTAAAGGTTTTTTTTTCTTTTGACATGACGGTTTAAACAAGATAAAACTGTCGATTGTCAAAAACTTTTCAACCCTGCCTAATTATGAAATTTTTTTAAAAGTACTTAAAAAAATTTTTTGAGTGCTTAAAAGGTGCTTATTTTTTGTTGAATAATTTGGCTACGCACCTCCTTAAATTGTTCTTTGGTTTGGTGGCAATATTGTCCTTACTTTTTATATTTTGGACCTCCAGTCCTGGAATTATCTTAAGATTTATAAAATCACAATTTGTGTTTTAAATAACGAATAAAATAAAAAAAGACGAAGTTTTGAATATGGTCACATCTGAAATAGTGAGTGTGGCTGACCTTTAACCAGAAGCAACGAGATGAGTTCTAGAAAAAAGAGGTCATCAGAACGCTTGTATTCAAATCAACCTCTCGGACTCTATGCCGCACCCTCCAGCAGAAAGTTTTATTTTCGGTCTGTTAGGACCACGATTTGCCCTTATTCACTTCTCTTCAAAATTGAAAGGATTCATTTATTTTTCTTTGCCTAAAGATAATTCTCCTCTTTTATGAACTTTTTTCCATATTGTTTCTTTAAAAAAATATCTTTTGTTAATCTGTAATTCACTGCAGCCTTTTTCCTGTTTTTTTTTCTTTCAAATAGTTAAAAGCTTCTTTCTTAATATTCTCTTCTTCCCGAAATTGCTTTTTCGCTATTTTAATATTTTTTTTAGTTTACAGGAAAGCGAGAAATGTAACGTTATTTGTGCGAATAGAATAATTTTTTTATTGCACCGACATTTTTCTTTTATTTCAAAACACTGTCAACATCGAAACATTCTGTTGTCCTTAACTCAACTGGACCAATTGTAAAAAGTCAAAACCCAAAATAGAACTTAAAATCAATGCAATGGAATACCTGGATGATACTAGGTGACGTAGTGTGGGTATCTCGATCCTGTTGAAACGTGGCATTTGTTTACGTTAGCAATTGTTCTTTCTATCCCATTTCGAGTAAGCCAAACCTGTCGAGTATCACTTCCCTTAAGTGACACAGAGATTTCAATTCCCTCACGATATATTTCCTACTTAACACATGTGGAACATAAACAAACAAATTGTGCATCGATTACACAAAACAAAAATATATCACAGCTGCAATAAAATGCTTGAACAAAAAATAAATATAAGTTAAGTAAAAGACGTAGAAGAGACAGAATTATTTTTTCAAATCATTCGATACGGCTCTCTATATATTAACGTTCTAGCTTATATGGCGAAACATAGCTCAACACGCCATTTTACTTATAAACTATCAGCTGGTACTGACGTCATAGGTCATATGTGTGGGTATCTGTGGTCTTCTTCTTGAAGTGCAGTACCCAATTCAAAATATGTCTGCCCAATCCTATAGTTTACCTATAGATAGAATTGCCGCTATAGAAACATAAAATAGCGCATTTCACAGATTTTACTAGTCGATCCTAGAATTTCTTAATTATTCACCCGTACTTCAACCTCGTGCAGTCACTGCTTTGGTATAGCATATTTTTTCATTCTTTAAGTAAAGATATAGTTTGCTATGAAAACATTAATCTGTATAAGCAACACCGGCATGAACGCGGACAGAGTATATCTTTCTAATGTTATATTTTAAGAAGTAAAGGTTTTTTTTTATTTTATTATAACCGTCGTTGAACAGCCGACCCAATTTTTTGGTTTTATGACTATTAATGTTCAACTTCGTAGCCTTGTCATTTTGAACCCAATCCAGAAGACAAGGGAACTCATGGATCAAGTATTGGGAGAAAGCCTTCGTGGAAGACTTTTTGATGGAACTAACCCGCAATTGCGTCACATGGAGAGGAGGGCCACGAAAACCTCCCACAGTTAGCCTAACGGCAAGGGGATTCTAACCCATAATCCGTCTACCACTGAGGATATTTCAAGTCAGCACTGTGGTCGGTGCAAGCCGGATGCGGAATTCGTATCGGCTCTCACTGGAAGGTTTACGCTCTATCCCCTGAGTCATCCGGGTTCGAATCCCATCGATGGTTGGTCGATACGAATCCGCATCTGTCTTACACCGACCACAGTGCTATCCTCAGTGGTAGACGGATCAAGGGTCCCTTTGCCGTCAGGCTAACTGTTGTCTTCTCCATGTCAAAGTCCTCCACGAAGGCAAAAAATTGGGTCGGTTGTTGAAGTTAAAATAAAAGTACACTTACTTTGATCTTGTCCAGAGTCTGAGTGGATCTGGAATTGTAAATAACGTAATCGGGATCTGACGTGTCCCTGGGAGGGAATTGGGTGGAAGAACATTTCATTCGATTCTTTTCTATTCGACCCCTCCGGAACCATTTACTGAACATGGACGGTGACTTTTCTTCTAGAAGAGAGGAAATGATCTTTATATGGCAACATTTTTGGCCTTAACTCCTTGCCCGAATACAGTTAGGGCAACAACTACCTGAAGTATTTTTGATGTTCGAAAAAAATTAACGTTTCGAATTTGTGAAGCCCGAGCTGGATTTATTTGGATACTTAATTCACTATTTTCCTAATAGATGGCATTAGTGGTCCTAGCTTTTCACCGATTACGACTTCAGTCGAGGGAGGGAAATGTGGGTGGAGGTTTTGGGATATACCATACTGTAAAAGATTTGTAAAATTTATGTATTGAAAATCATATTGTTGTGTTTTTATATTATATTATGCTAGTTATATTACATATAGCTTCAAAATTTCTTTTAATTTGCTCTAATTAAATAAGATGTGTATGTAATCCATTACTTTCTTATGTGTTAGTGAAAATTATAAATACAGTAGTTATTGCATTTAAAATTTTATTTTTGTAATAAAAAATATTTTCTAACTTTTATAATAAAGAACAAAATTAAACAGTAAATTTTCTTCTTCCATTTTTGGTCTATTTTTCTGAAATATATGTCACTATTAAAAGGATAAATTTAGTCCCGCAGTGAACTGATCGTAAAGACTCGGTTCCCAGTAGAACACCGAAGTCAAGCATCACTGGTTGCGGTTAGTAAGCGGGTGGGGGGTGACCACTTGGATAAGCCTGTGTAGGGATCTAGGGTGCGCGGTATCAGTCCTTGTTAAATTGTTCTACCGTAAAGTGCTCGACTTCGCGTGCAGGTCGCCTGGCTGTCAAAGCGGAGGATCAAAGTTGCAATGTCTTTCGATCATCCTCATGGATGTTTCTCAGACCGTCGCCAATAGCCCATTGTGCAGCTCTAGTGAGACGTAAATAAAGTACCTACCTACTTAAATGTAATTTGATTTTTTCAGGTCTTTTTTCTCCTTGAAAAAGACCTGAAAAAGACTTGATTAAATTGTCAGGTCTTTCTTCTCCTAATGAATTGGCCATAAACTTGCACTGATAAATAAGATAATTTATAAATTTTGTTTTTATAACTAAAAAATTAAGGGAGGAGAAATAATTAATTGAACGTACGCATAACACGACAAAGTGTTGGTCTCTCTTTTTGCGACCCTCGCGAATTCTTTACTGTTACCCACATTTATATAAACCAGTGATTCTCAACCACTGTGCCGCGGCACTTTTGTGCGCCGCCTAATTCTTAAAATGTGCCGCCAAATATTAGAAATGAGGCAATAAAAATTATAATACTTTTTTTTATTACGAGTTAAGTTTAAATTAAAGAAAAGTGTATATATATGTATAATATTTATATATACAGGGTTATTCATAATTCCCTCCGGGCNGTCTTTTTTCTCCTTGAAAATTTTACCTATGGTAAAGAATTGGCCATAAACTTGCACTGATAAATAAGATAATTTTTAAATTTTGTTTTTATAACTAAAAAATTAAGGGAGGAGAAATGATTAATTGAACGTACGCATAACACGACAAAGTGTTGGTCTCTCTTTTTGCGACCCTCGCGAATTCTTTACTGTTACCCACATTTATATAAACCAGTGATTCTCAACCACTGTGCCGCGGCACTTTTGTGCGCCGCCAAATTCTTAAAATGTGCCGCCAAATATTAGAAATGAGGCAATAAAAATTATAATACTTTTTTTTATTACGAGTTAAGTTTAAATTAAAGAAAAGTGTATATATATATATATATATAATATTATATATACAGGGTTTTTCATAATTCCTTCCGGGCAGGAACTGGACTATCGCATTGATGTATGCCGTGTGACCAAGGGTTCACACATAGAACACATGTAATGTATGTAAGTAAAACTTGAATAGTTTCGGAATAATTTCATATGCTTCTTTTTTTTTCATATTCGTCTTCTTTTTTTTTTACTATAACGATTCGAAACCCCGGAGGGAATTATGAATAACCCTGTAAATATATACATTTTATAATTTTTCCACGCTTTAACCGCGTGAACATCTTTGTCAGGGACTGTCTTGTCTCTGACAATCTTAAAATAAGAAGGAAGTGTTTAAATTGTCTTTGACAATTTTAAAAAATGTTGAAATAAGTAGGAAATTTAATGACTATTAAAATCATTAATCAGCAAAGGAAATCAAGCTAAATATTAACTTTCAAATGGAAATAAAAGCTAATCATTAAAGTAAGCTATGCAATTAATATTTATAAAAACATATTAACAAAGGATAACTAACAGAAAAATAAACTAGCAATTAATAATCACCAAAAATACTAGTTAACAAGAAATCACAAAAAAATAACAGTCAATAGCTATAGAAAACAAGCTAACAATTATTAACTAGCAAAAAAAATGAATAACTGTTCTAACTAGTAAAAAATTAGTCGAAAGAAATAATTAATCCCTTAATAAACGTGCTTTTGCAGTACACATTATTTCATTTCACATTCAAAATTATTATCACTAACTATTTAACACAGTGTATTATGGGTAAGTAAACAACTTTTAAACTAATTTTTTTCATTGTGTGCCGTCAAATTTCGAAATCGTTAAAAGTGTGCCGCCCCCCAAAAAAAGATATAAACAATGCCCTTCATTGCTTTCTTTTTCTTGTACTAGAGGGCTAAGCCCCCTGTTCGCTGTCGCTCGCCAATCTCCTTCACAATAATTGTTTGCTTCTCCGTAGAAAAATGCTTGTGTTTACAAAAGTTGAAATTATTCACTTAACGTGATACACGCACTAAAAAGAGTTCTGTTTAATCCTCACTCAATTGATCTTGTAGTATACACTTAAATTTATATATTATTACTGGGGGGGTTAAGTCCCCGGTTCGCTGCCGCTCATCAATCCCGATGATTGCTTCGAAATAATAGTTGTTTCTCGGAGAAAAAATACAGTTTTTCTACTTTTAAAATTATTCACTTAACATGTATGTACTAAACGGAATTTTGTTTGCTTACGCTTGTGCCTCCATTTCTCACGTCCAAATATTATTATCTATGAATATTATAAATAATATTTAGATCGATTAGTGAACAGAAGTAATTTTTCTAAGTAATCCTTTTTTTAAAAAAGAATAACATTCATGTTATTACAATATATATTGTTCAAACAAATTTGATGAGTTCACAACTATAATTTAAAATTTTCACCTACCAAAACGGGCGGATATCTTAAACACTACTTTCACTTTGCATCTAATTGTGCATGAGGCTGATCGTTACGTTCTAAATAATTTAACAGATTTCTTTAACTGTAATTCATAATGGTATATTAATGTTATTTGCACAAAAATAATAATTTAAAATGGTTAATAAGATTTAGCCACATGATTTTATCTTGAAATGCAGAGCTGAATTATAGGGGAGAGTCGGGTAGGGACAGTCGGTACTATATTATAGGGGAGAGTCGGGTAGCCCCGCCCAGCGGGTACCCCCGCCCACAGTCAATTTCATTTGTATAGAATATTTTTTAAAGCAATGGGCCATCGGACATTAATTGTTGTATTAAAAAAAAGATTATTTTCAAAGTTTCAAGTATTTATGCAGCTGTTAGCATGGTAAACAATATGTTTTGAAAATATGTTGAATACAGTAGTCATGAAATTAAGAAAAATTGGTTGAATNTATATTTTAATAGTAATAAAAAAAATACTCTTAGTTTTAAACTCTTGAATTAAAAGCGTATAATAATAGCAGTACATGAAAATAACTTTAAATTCAACCTTTAACGTTAAAAACAATACCGTTATGGCTTTTATTAGTTTTATGTTGATGACGACCAAAATAATAAAGAAATGAAGGAGGGAAAACTGGATCCTACCACGTGATTTCCCGGGCAATAAAACGAAGAGAACTGATAGTGGAAGTAAACATAAGGGTTGCTGTTTGATCGCCAACGTTTGCCACTTCAACTGTGTCTTCGCTGAATGGGCGATTTCGTTTGAATCGACAGAGCCTTCGCTTTTATAGGAAAACGATATTCGGTTTTTGATACCTTAAAATTAGATAAGAAAGCGTGAAATTAAAATATTTACATGGAAATACGTTTCTAATTTTTTCAGTAAACACATTATTTTATTTTGAAAGTAGTTTTAATGTATTTTTTTTAAAGTTTAAATTAAATTAGTTTTAATATATTTTGCATAAATTTCTATGTAAAACATAACTTTTATAATTCCATCGTAAAATCGTATAGAGTTGAAAGAATATGTTAAAAAAATACTCTTTATTTTCATAATTACAATTTTTTTTAAAATTTATTAAAAGTTAAGTGATATTTAAAAAAAATTTTATGTTTCACCGATGGATTTAAAAATATATTTGAAGGAACTGCATTTATTTGTATTTTTAAACTGTTATCTTTATTTTTCTAAGGGAAGTATGTTTGAAGTCTAAATTTTTTTAACAGGGAATAAAATATCGTTCCCTTAAGGTTTGGCAAATTAGAATCATCGTCTACAGCTTTGAGAACTTTGTTTATTGTCGGAATTTCGTTAAGGCGGAAAAAATCATGAACTTTTCTTCTTACAGCATTTTTGTCGAAATCGTCAATATGTCATCCAAAAAAATTTTACGAGATTTAGTTCTCTTCGGTGAATGTAATATACTATCCCTTTTATATTCTTTAATAATTCTGAAAACAGAAGCTGTGCTAACTCCCGAAGCAGAAACCGCATGGTCAGCCACATCAATGATTGGAACATCTGGTTTTGAATGCACTTCTGTTTTATAAATTTTCAATATTATTTCCTTCTCGGCTTTACTTATGTAAGATTTCTTCTGTTGTTTTTTAGGAGGACTTAAATTCATAACTTTATTTTCTATATTGCTCATGAAACACCTGCAAAAAGACACCACGGCGAAACAAACAACCCTCTAAGAAATAAGAGTGTTTGCTTGACTGATAGGCGCTATTTGTCATTAAATCAGAGCCAAGCAGACAACGGTATTGCGCCAAATAGCACGCTGCTTTGTTTACTTTCACTCTCAGTTCTCGTTGAACAGACTATAAGTTAGAACAGTTAGTTCAGGATTTGCCACGCTAATTCCTGAAATGAAATTAGTTTTTAAATAAACCAACACATAGCACAGAAATAACATTAATAGGAATTCCAATCAGGCTTAACAGAACAGAAGAGGGGGGAAATTATATATTATGAAATCCTTTTATACACGGTAAAATCTGCAGTGTAATACCTATTCGAATCTGGTGCTGAAATTGTGTACTGTTTCAAGTTAGTACATAATCGAGCGCTTATAAGTGTGTTTTTAAATTTTTACATTAAAAATTGAGGAAGATTACACCAAGCTCCCGCAGTGGACTGATCCTCAAGACACGGTACCCAATAGAACACTGAAGTCAAGCATCACTGGCTGCAGTCAGTGTGCGAATGGGTGACCGCTTTGATCAGTCAGCAAAGGGACATAGGTCCTCGTTAAACTGTTTTACTGTGAAGTGCTCGACTTCGCACGCGGGTTGTCGGGCTACCAAAGCAGAGGAGCCATCCCCTCTGCAAAGGATCAAAATTGCGATGACATGTCTTCGGATCATCTTCAGGGATGTTTCCCAGACCGTCGCCAATAGCCCATTGTGCAGCTTTACTGCGACGAAGATAAAGTACCCACCAACCTACCTGATTTTGTAAGGTGTAAATGGGGTTGAAATTCAGGTTTATTAATGAGGTTATTTTGGGGGCAAAGCATAACCTCATTTTCTACATCAGGTATATTTTTTACATCTATCAACTTCGAAACAACCTCAAAAGCACCTTATATTTTTGTAAGGTTTTGGGCTGTTCTCACATCCTAAAATGGAAGTGTAAAGGTAGCTGGTTTGAATCTCACAATCTTTTATTATTATTACTATTATGCGTGCATTTGCAGGCTCAAGGCTTATTCTGCTTTATAANCCGCACTTAAGGAGCCAAAGAGCCACATGCGGCTCTGGAGCCGCACTTTGCCGACCACTGGCTTAACCCATCAGAAAATTCCATTTCGTTTTTCGTTCATCCTTATTTAATGAATGAACTAATGTTTGAACTTGAGAGTGGATGAATTAAAAAGTATTTTATGAACGATTCGAACAAGATAATAGTTGAGAGTGTGAACTAATAGGAGGAATTGAAAAAATAAATAAAAAAGAGGTTATACTTTTGATGGCTTCGTTGCTGTTCCTGAAGTCTTGGTGTGTGTTGGACTTGAAAGAGTTACTCCGAGAAAGTCTCTCACCTCTCAGCAATTTCAGAGAGTGACACCTTTTCAGTTTTCCTGAAACATCATCCTTCTTAATAATATTTCTCAATGTTAATAATAATATTTTCTAAAATCCAACAGATGGCGCTCCGCGCAGTAATGATTGTATTCAGTTACCTCTATGATAGGTGTTTCCAACTTACATGAGGCCGGGGGGCCACAATTAAAAACAGAAATGAAATGGCGGGCCTCAACTTGATCAAAATTTTATGTAGGACTCTTTTATGTTTAAAGGAACATTAAATAATACTGTCAGATTTTTACCAAGTTGTACAAAACAAAAGTATTGAATTACAAATTAAAATAAGAAGTAGGTTCTTAAAAATATTTAATTGCATATTAAAAAAGTCGGGCTACAATAACTTTAATGTGCAACATATATCTAATTGTTAAGATATAAAACTTTAAAAAGGTTGGTATTAAAACTTACATAACAGCACACAGAATGTTCAATGACAAAATTGAGGTTTGTCTGCTGCAACCACCAGAGAATAGATATTTACATTTAAAATTTACAAATGTGTGTTTCTATTGCCGTCCAAAATGAGTGGTTTCAAAAAGTTAAATCGGAGAATTTCTTCGAGAAAATTTCTGATACACGCATGCTAAATTATATTCACAAAATATAGATTTTTTGCGAAAATTGTCCGCAAAAAAAAAATGACAACTAATATATTTTAGTTCGCGGGCCACAAAAAAAGGCTTCGCGGGCCGCCATTAAATGTTAAAGGTTTTTGTAATCCTTTAAATAACCGAGATCATCCAATTGTTTTATTTAAATGAAGCATTTCTGCAGAAATATTATTGTCCCTGCAGCAAAACTTTTTCGAGCGACAAAACTCTCTTTACACTCATATATTTGTGCAAGAGACTTTTCATAATAACAAACGTATCTCATTTAAAATAACAGAAGCACTGTGTTTACATTTTTTTAATTGAATTTTTTATTGTAATACTATGGGTGATATGCTCGCACACACACTAATTATTTCCTTCGCATTTTGCAAATAATCATCACAATTAAAAAAATAATTAAAAATCTTGAAATCCGTAGCAGCAATTGCCAAAGAAGAAAAAAAAAGATCGATGACGAAATCACGCGAATTGGACTCCTCAAATGTGTGTTTCGTTTCGAGATTAGGTTGTTGTCATCAATAATATCGTATAAAAAATTTAAAAAACTATAGAGAAATCAATCGCAGTAAATGCCAAAAAATTCGGAATTATTGCCTTAAAAAGTAAATACTCAAATGAACAATTCGAATTTTCCATATTGTTTGAAATATATCGAGATATTTAAAATCCTCACGTTGACTGCCGAAAATACAATAGAAACATTACATCGATTTACGATACTGTCGGTGTAAATTGAGCACATCAAAAAGTGATTATCTAAACGCATGATTCAAATATTAAGTGTTAATTTCTGTAGAGAAGATTTTTTTTTTAATTTTTAACTTTAAAAAAAAATCAGAACTCTGTAACGTTCTAGGACAATGTCTGTGCCACAAGGATTATAGTTAGAAACCTCAACCATCGTTTCATAAAAATAACCTACTGAAAACAATCCGTCACTTTACAGAGAGGTATAAAACTTTTTTTAACTAAAATGAACGGCAGTGTCGCCAGATTGGGGGTTTTACCCCTAAATTTAGGGGGATTTTTTAAAATCTTCAGTGGGTATTTTAGGGGAATTTGTTTTAGGGTTATTTGTGAATTTTACTAGTTTCATTTTGGTCACGTTCTAATATCAAATTTTGTAACTGAATATGTGAGATGGTAATATGAAAATCAATATGTTAAACCAAAACAAAAAGATTTAATTTTATTACTTAACCCCTTTGCTAAATGCAGCAAGTTATTATTTAGCTCGATTAACCTGTACGTTTGGTGAATTTGAATTAAAATTATTTAAAATAATGCGCATGGTTATTAAGTATTCTGTTTTCAAATGCAGCTGTGGAGAGATGTTTCTCCACACTAAATATTATTAGAGACAAATTGAGAAATGTCTATAACTACAGCTGATGCTCGCGTTCCATATGAACTTTCTAATGGTTTTCAAAATTTTTTACCTACCTCTTCTATGTTAAAAATGTTTAGCAGCTAAAACATATACTAATCAGAAAGTATTGACGAAAATATGTTGGATATTTTATCACAAATTTAAGCATAATGTTCGAATTAAAAAGACTATATCGTTGATAATAAAATATTTATGAAAAAATGTGCGAGTCAAAAAGTGTTGGAAAAAATATCTTAAATATTTTAGTAAAAATTAAAGATAATGGAACGATTGAAATGTAAAAAAAGATTAATTTGTTGATAATAAAATATTAAAAAGTATTAAAGCAACGTTTTCAATACATTATTTAACTTTTGTACTTTTTTTCAATACNGAGGAAAGAAAAATTTTGGAATTTTTTTTTTCCTTCTTTTTTTTTTCTTTTTTTTTTCTTGTTATTTTTAGGGTATTTTACAACGCCATCTGGGGGTGAACGGTCATCGACACCTGGTAACACTGATAAACGGTGACAATTAAAAAAAAAGAATGTATACCATGTTTTCTGGGTTCGAGAATCCTCTCGGCCGATGACCAGGCAGTGAGAATCTCTTGTTGCTGTGTCTGGGTGCAGGTTGTCCGGCCATCATCTACAGTATATGCAGTGCCATGTAACCGGACAATGGCTTCTTCGTTGGTCAACAACATTTGTCTCTCCAAAGGAGGGGACATGGCCAGGAGTCTGAAGGTATCAGGAGTAACTACAGCATAACCGCTGCCCGTGTGGAATAATTTACGTTCCTTAATTAAAGTACCTGCAAAAAAAAAAATTTTTTTTGTTAGATGAGTTTGTAAGATGACAAAAAATAAAAGAAATAATTGAAATACTCTGTGGCTAATATTTTATGTTATATATGTAACCGTTGTCGGACAGCTGACCCAATTTTTTGGGCTTACGACTACTAATAGTCAACTCCGTAACCTTGTAATTTTAAACCCAATCCAGAAGACAAGGAAACTCCTGGATCGAATAATGGGGGGAATTTGCCTTCGTGGAGAACTTTTTGATGGAACTAACCCACATTTGAGTTACATGGAGAAGAAAACTACGAAAATTTCCCAAGGTTAGCCCGACTGTTAAAGGACTCTGACCCGTGATCCGTCTACCACTGAAGATATTTTATGTCAGTACTGTGGTCGGTGCGAGTTGGGTGTGGAATTCGTATCGATCGACCATGGCAGGGGTTCGCACCCGGTTCACCTCATTGGAAAGTGAATGCTCGATCCCAGGAATTAAATATCGAATCAAAAATCTAAAAATTCAAGTATGAGATATTTTTCTAAATATCTGGGTTATTTTTCTGGGTTAGGTAAAGTGGGTCCAATCAGAAAAAAATCCTCTTGGGTTTTTCATAAACTGGATTTTTTTCCCTCTGAAAATTAACTGCGCTAGATCAATGGATTTTACTTCAAAAGTAAAATTACTGTCACTAAACAAAAAATTCAAGATAAATTTTATTTAGATTTAATTACTATATAATTAATCTAAATTGAAATGTTTTGATTTAGGATGGATTAGGACGGCTCTTATGATGAGCACATTGTTCATGTTTGAGGTTTCTAAAACGAATATTTTATAATTTAAATAAAATTATTATTTTGTTCTTAACTTTTGATAAATTTTGCCTATCTTAACAGTTTGTAGGGGTTTAAAATATAATTAATATCATTCTACATGAAGAAAAAAGTTTTGGAGTAAAAAAAAAAAAATTTAAAAAAAACATCGAAAAGTTTATTCGAACTATAAATCATTCATTTAATCATTTTTTAAACGTATTTACTTTATATCTTTTCCTAATACTATCGTGACTCGATTTCTATTATTAATCTATATTAAATGCTTTAAACCAGAAGTGAATTTCTTTTATTTTAAAGTAATCCTGTATTATTACATAACATTTTAGGAAAGACATATTAAAATCGACATGTAACTTAATTACTGTTTAATAATTGCAAAATCATTAAGTAATATTTCCTTTCATAAGCTTTATACAAAATAGTTTTTAGTCAAAATTAGCAATTAAAATAATAAATAAAATCAGTTATTAGAAATTAACTTTACACAACATTACTAAACAATCTGTTTGGCGAAAAATAATTTTATTAAATTTATAGTAATTAATTAATTTAATAGTAACCAAATTTAATTTCACAGTAAACAAAGGTGGAGTAGGAATTTAAAAACCAAAATTGTAAATAAAGTTGTAGTAAATTAAGTTGTAAATCGAGCAATTTGAATTTTATTCCAATAGACTCAGCTACTAAATATGTGTTAATGCTGTAAAAAAATTTAGTATCTTTTAATTCAATAATTTAAAATTTTTATGCTACGATCTGTGGTTAAGAAATAGAAATAATAATGAAATAAACTAAAACTCTTAAACTAAAAAATGCTTACAATTAAACAAAACAAGTAATAAATAGTTACCAACTATTTAACTTAAGCAATCTTATTGAGAACTGAGGGGAAAAAATGTAAATGTTTCTGATTAATTTCCGGGTTTTCGATTTAAAAAAAAAAATAATAATAACAAGGTGGGCTATGTATTTTCAAACCCTGCTCCCTTTCTTGGATTGAAACGGAGGGTAACTTAAAAATTTTAAACGAACCCCTGTTTTTTTATTGCAAATTAGGATTTTTCCAAAAAAAAAGTACTTTAATTTTAAATATGGGTTCTTGCATTTCGATTCGTGGATAACGCTACCACTGCAGAATAAATATTAACATATAACATAACATATTAACTTAAATATGTAATCAGCTGACAAGATGCCTATTAGATTGGTAAAAACTAAACCTAAATTTATTTTTTGATTATTATTTTACTTTTTAGTACACCTCTAGTATTTTACCATTTATCAATTAACTCTTTTCTAAAACAACAAATTATAATGTATTTTACCAATTTTAAATTCAATATCCAAATTGAAATTTCAAATCTGATTTTTTTTTCACCAAAAAATAAATCGATGGATAGTTATTGTTCATTTTATTTTCACCGGAAAAGTTCAGTCGAGAATCAAGTCACAAATTAATGGTACAAATTTGGCGAAGGAACACATGGCTACAATGACTTGCATTGGGCCGAGATAGCCAGGTTGGCAGGGCGCTGGTCTCATGTTTGTGAGAATGGGAGTCCAGGCCGCCGAAAGCTCACCTTGCAGTAAATGGTGACTGGGCCCATGTTACATGACTGTATGAATGGGCCCACCCTATAAAACTGGTGTGACGTATGGCTGTGGAAGAAGTCAAATTCTTGGCCACAGATGGCGCCACTAGAAAACAAGAACTATCACACACCTCTGACTTAATGGCCGACGACAACAAGAGCAACGGGACTTGCATCAACTCGTTTTTTTTCTTTATTTCTTATTCTATTTACTTTTTTTAAACTTAATTTTAAAGGTTTGATTAGATATGTACTTACGTGGCTATACTCTTGGTTATTTTGTGTTAAATCCGTCGTTGAACAGCCGACCCAATTTTTGGGTTTACGACTACTAATATTTAACTCAGTAGCCTTGTAATTTTGAACCCAATTCAGAAGACAAGGAAACTCCTGGATCAAGTAAATTTGCCTTCGTGGAGGACTTTTGGATGGAACTAACTCGCATTTGCGTAACATGGAGAACGAGACCATGAGAACCTCCTACTGTTAGCCAGGCGGCAAGGGAACTCTAAGCCATCATCCTCTTACTAGAGAGAATATTTCACGTCAGCATTGTGGATGCGGAATTCGTATAGACCAGCCACCGCCGGTATTCAAACCCGGTTAACCTCATTGAAATCTGAACGCCCTATCAGCCATTGCAGCTCACTAAATGAGAACTCATTTTTACTAAAGACTCAGACAAATCTGATTTGGAGAATTAATCACAGAAGTTTTGATTCTTTGTGGATAACTTGTTATATTTAGTGGTTTTGAATTTAAAATCAGTTCTCTAAAATAATGAAAGAGATTCACCTAATGTTTTGCAGAGGATATTCTCACTGGGTAAGATGAGTTCGGGAAATGCACTCTTCAGTTTTTTGGAGATGACTGGTATGGAGGCGACAAATCCTTCAGATGTCAGATCATATACAGCCTTGCATAGGGCCTCGGGCAGGGGGGCAAACTGTGTCTGAGACACTAAGCTCATGCTCACCACGTCCAGGTCACCTGCAAAGAAACATCCATTTTTATAATTCATACGCTCAGTTCAGAACCGGATTCATTAGCATTATATAAAGTGGTAAAGTAGTTTGTAGTCACAACATTAAAAAAATTAGTTGTAGTTAACTACATTTGTAACAAAGTAGTTGTAGATCTAGTAAACTACAAAAATAATGTAGTTTTTCTGCTCACTGCATAAAATCATACATTTAAAAATCTATAAATCTAAGAAAATCTAGTAAACTACAAAAATAATGTAGTTGTAGTAAACTACAAAAATAATGTAGTTGTAGTAAACTACAAAAATAATGTAGTTTTCCTGATCACTGCATAAAATCATAAATTTAAAAATCTATAATAATATCAACGAAGTATATAATTACAGTTACAGTAAACTACAAAAATAACGTAGTTTTTCTGATCGCTGTATAAAATAACACACTTAAAAATCTATAATAATATTATCGAAGTATGTAATTATAGTTGTAGTAAACCACAAAAATAATGTAGTTTTCCTGATCACTGCATAAAATCATGAATTTAAAAATCTATAATAATATCAACGAAGTATATAATTATAGTTATAGTAAACTACAAAAATAACGTAGTTTTTCTGATCGCTGCATAAAATAACACACTTAAAAATCTATAATAATATTATCGAAGTATGTAATTATAGTTGTAGTAAACCACAAAAATAATGTAGTTTTCCT